AGAAATGAAACATTAAAAAAAAAGACTAGTATTCACAAAGGAAGAGACACATAGATTTATAGAACATAGAACAAAATGAGAACTCAGAAATAGCCCCACACAAATAGCCCAACACAAAAATGCCCAAGTGATGAAAGTTCAAAAGCAATTCAATGGGGGAACCAGCAGTTAGCGTAATGGCTATGTCGCTGGACTCCCACGTAGTCGACCGCGGTTCGTGTCCCGGACCCGGTGGCTTAAAACTCACGCCGGGTGCGTGTGCGTGCGTGCCCAAGATCCCGAGAGGAGAATGGAGGAGAAGGGATTGCGGCGTGACCATCCACCCTGGGGGGTGATTTCTCGCTTTCTGTCTCTATGTCTCTCTGTCTGTCTGGCGAGCGCACGCGCCCTACAGTGAAAAAAATCTCTCAAAAAAAAAAAAAAAAAAGCAATTTGATGGAGGAAAAATCGTCATTTTAATTGAGACATCAGACATCCATATGCAAAAATACAAACCTTGATCTTAGGTTCACATCTTATGTGAAAATTTATTCCAAATGAATCATAAACATAAATATAAAATATGTAATTACATGGGCCAGCCGGTGGCATGGTGATTAAGGTGGCTAGATCCCACATGGCTGACAGAGCAGTTTGAGTTCCAGACCTGGTGGCTTGAGAAACATGCCAGGTGCAAGTGCATGTGTGCCCAAAATCCTGAAAGAAGGGAGAAATGGAGGAGAGGGGATTGTAGTGTGACCATTTCCCATGGCAAGTGCCTTTGTGTGTTCCCTCTCATTCTCTGCCTCTGTCCAGTGAGTATACATGTCCATATATATATATATACACATATATATACATACACATATATATACACACACATATATACAAATAAAATATATAAACATATATATTTATGTATGTATAATAAACATATATTATATATTTTACTATATTTATATAATAGAAATATATTAGATAAATAAATGTATATCATATAAAATATATAATACTCATATTTAATTCTATTTTTCTACAAAGTTTTTCTTTCTTTTTTTAAAATAATTTTTGCAGGACCAGCAGATGGCATAACAGTCATGTCGCTGGACTCCCACATGGCTGACCACAGTTTGAGTCCCAGACTTGGTGACTTGAAAATCATGCCAAGGCATGCATGTGTGTGTGCTCTAGATCCTGGGAAGAGAATGGAAGAAAAGAGATTGCAGTGTGGCCATTCCCCCTGATGGGTGATTTCTCACATTCCCTCTCACTGTGTCTGTCTCTCTATGGAGAGCATATGTGCCCTTAGGCAAAAACCTCTAAAATAATAATAATAATAACAATAATAATTTTTGCTATAGGGTATGTATGCTCGCCAGAAACAGTGGGGGAGAGGACAGGAGTGAGAAACCATCCACCAGGAGAGATGGCCACACCAGGACACACATGCAAGCACATGTACCTGAAATGATTTTCAAGTCACTGGGTCTGGGACTTTAACAGTGGAGTTGACATCATGGATCCAATTGCCTTGACCTCCACACCATCTGCTGGCCCCTCCAGAAATGTTTTTTAAGGTTTTTGCTATATGGCATGTGTGCTCACCAGAGAGACAGTGAGAGTAAAAGTGAGAAATCACTCCCCAAGGAGATGGTCACCCACAATCTCTTCTTCTCTATTCTCCTCTCGTGATTTTGGGCATGCATATGCATGTGCTTGGCATGATTTACAAGCTTCCAGGTCCAGGACTTGAAATGCAGTCAGCTATGTGGGAGTCCAGTGCCTTAACCACCACACAACCTGCTGACCCCCCCTTCTACAAAGTTTTTTTTTAAATAATTACTTATTTAATTGTATTATTATTTATTGACCAGAGAGAGACAGAGAGGGAAAGTGAGAATGTAAGCTGCCAGGTCTGGGACTCAAACCATGGTCAACCATATGTGAGTCTAGCACCCTAACCACCATGCCACCTGCTGCCCCCCCCCACGAAGTTTTTTTAAGTCCCTTCATACATTTACCATCTGACTGCATTCTTGTGCATTTGGAGCAATGAAAGCTGATGTTTACACAAAATCCCCTACATGAATGTTCACAGCAGTCTTATTTTTAATAGGCAAAAATTGGAAACAACCCAAATATTCTTTAATGGGAGAATAGGTAACCTGTGGTCTATCCATACCCATAGAATACTACTTAGAAATACAAAGGAGTGGACTACTGACACAGGCAACAACTTGGGTGCATTTCAAGAAAATCATGCTGAGTGAAGAAAAACTGATTTCAAAAGGTCTAATTCCATTTATGTAATATTCCTGAAATAACAAAATTATAGAGATGGAGAACATATTAGAGGTTGCCAGGGGTTGAGTAGAAGGAGTTGACTGTGACTATAAAGAGTAGCAGGAGGAATCCCTGTGGCAGAGAGCAACTGTTGATTGTGGAGGTGATAAGAATTTACAAATGTGATAAAGTTGCATAGAACTACATACAGACTCAGAAATGAGTGCCTGTAAAACTAGTGAAATCTGAATAGGGTCTGCAGGTTGCACCAATGTGAATATCTTGGATTTGATAATGTATTATAGTTATGTAAGATATCACCAATGGGGAAAAACTGGGTGAAGGGTACCTGGGACTACTATATCTTTTACTACAACTTCCTGTGAATCTATAATTATTTCAAAATGCATTAAATATAATAAAGCAAATCCCAAGGACTATGACTATTTTAGAACTCACACATTTGCACATTATAAAATAGAACTACATCTTTAATGTGGAAAACAGACAAAATACAAAAGAGCCTACATTGTTGTTTATCCTAGAAATGTAAATGAAAATGACTGTATGACTTAATTATAATTGTACATGGTTTATTTCCTAACCCACAGAGGTAAATCAAAAAGGTTTGTTGCTGAAACATCTGTATTCAGTAAGGATTCAACCAAAGAATCAAGATCAGTAGAAAATTTCACACACACATACACATACACACACACACACACATATGACTTCAAAAAGCTTGTGGAAAACGGAATTAAAGTACGATTTTATTTTGCTGCAAAACAAAAATTGAAATTTCACTGCCAGTGGGGGTGGTTAGGGCAGCTGGATCCCACATGGCAGACTACACATTCCAGCCCTGAACAGGAGGGGACTTGAAAAATATCCTGGGTGCCCAAAATGCCATAAGGAGAAATGGAGAAGGGATTCAGATGTGACCATCCCCTATGGGGGTACTTCCGCTCCCCCTACCACCACCCTACCAGTCTCTGGTGAGTGCACACAGTCTCTGGCAAATTTTTAAAAATTTGAAATTCATGCATAGTTGTTTCATAATACACAATTTCCCTGATGGGACTGGCTAAGTAAATCCAAGTAAATCCAAAATTTGTATGGCAGGGCGTGAGGAAGAGAAGATCAGGAGCAGCCTGGGCATGGGTCAAAACTATCATTCATAGGCGAAATTTCTTCTCTTACATTCTCGGAAACCTCAATCGTGATTTAAAGGCTTTCCAACTGATTCAGTCAGGCCTACACAGATTATCCAGGATAATCTCTCTTTAAATCAACTGATTAGAATTCTTAATTACATCAGCAAACTACCGCCACAGCAACACCTGGATTAATGTTTGATCGAATAACTGGGGGTTTGCAGCCTAACCAAGTAGACACATCAAAAAAACCCACACATCACCGTAAAGCATTTGTGCTTGCAACTGAATAAATGCCTTCTCTTAATAGCCACCTTAGCTTTATTATTACAGGTCATTCAAGCCAAGAGACCTAAATCAATAGTGGCCGCCTAATCTATACAGGAGTGCGCCACTTACAGAACTTTGGAGTTGGAAGGGGCCATGAAAAGCTAAGTTTGCACCGCCAAGGCATCTCTACCTCGTCTCTGACGCTCAGCCTGGCTGGGGCTCCTCAGGCAGCAGCGCGCCCAGCTGGAGGGGAGGAGAACCCACCTGGAGCCCGGAGCGGCGGGTGCGGGAGCTCTAAGTGGGCGGAGCTTTGAGACCGGCAGCAGCGGCGACAGCGCCCAGCCCGCCAGAAGAGCGCGCGGCGGGC